CCCGCAGGGTGACTGGGTCTGGCTGAAGAAGTTCCCCGGGGACCAACACGGTGAGGTGAAACCGGCCACCAAGTTGGTCTTCTGTAAGGTGAGGGGGGTCATGGGGACGTCGTTGGGTCATGGGGGACATGGTTGGGTCATAGGGGACAACTCTGGGTCATGGGGACATTGTTGGGTCATGGGGGACATGGTTGGGTCATAGGGGACAACTCTGGGTCATGGGGACATTGTTGGGTCATGGGGGACATGGTTGGGTCATAGGGGACAACTCTGGGTCATGGGGACATGGTTGGGTCATGGGGGACAACTCTGGGTCATGGAGGACAATGTTGGGTCATGAGGACGGCGCTGGGTCATGGGGGCAATGCTGGGTCATGGGGGACCAAGTTGGGTCATGGGGGACAACGCTGGGTCATGGGGGACCAAGTTGGGTCCTGGGGGACAACATTGGGTCATGGGGGACCAAGTTGGGTCATGGGGGACAACGCTGGGTCATGGGGGACCAAGTTGGGTCCTGGGGGACAACATTGGGTCATGGGGGACCAAGTTGGGTCATGGGGGACAACGCTGGGTCATGGGGGACCAAGTTGGGTCCTGGGGGACAACATTGGGTCATGGGGGACCAAGTTGGGTCATGGGGGACAACGCTGGGTCATGGGGGACCAAGTTGGGTCCTGGGGGACAACATTGGGTCATGGGGGACCAAGTTGGGTCATGGGGGACCAAGTTGGGACATGGGGACATTGCTGGGCCATGGGGGACCAAGTTGGATCATGAGGGACAACTCTGGGTCGTGGGGACATCATTGGGTCATGGGGAACCAAGCTGGGTCATGGGGACATCGTTGCGTCATGGGGACATCGTTGGGTCATGGGGGACATTGCTGGGCCATGAAGGACCAAGTTGGGTCATGGGGGACATTGCTGGGACATGGGGGACAACACCAGGCCATGGGGGACGTTGGGTCATGGGGGACACCACCAGGCCCCGGGTGACCCCACCAGGCTCCAGAGGACACCACCAGGCCCTGGGTGATGCCACCAGGCCCCTGGGGACACCATCAGGCCCCTGGGGGACAATGCCAGGCCCCAGGTGACCCCACCAGGCCCTGGGTGACCCCAGCAGGCCCCCAGGGGACCCCACCAGATCCCAGGGGACCCCACCAGACCCCAGGGGACCCCACCAGGGGACACAACCAGGCCCTGGGTGACACCACCAGGCCCCAGGTGACCGCACCAGGCCCCAGGGGACACCACCAGGCCCCAGGTGGCACCACCAGGGCCCAGGTGATGCCACCAGGCCCTGGCTGACCCCACCAGATCCCCAGGTGACCCCACCAGGGCCTCAGGGGACACCAACAGGGCCACAGGACACACCACCTGGCCCTGGGTGACACCACCAGGCCCCAGGAGACCCCACCAGGCCCCAGGTGATGCCACCAGGCCCCAGGGGACCCTACAAGGACCCCAGGGGACCCCACCAGCCT